TCCAATCAGTGTGACCGTAACGTCAGAGCCACATTCTGCTAAATGCACATAAACAAAACCCAGAATTACTCGAAATACACTATAAACACTTAAAATCACATGAAGATTGGTAGTATTACCTTAACTAAGGTTCAAATTATATTATAAACAATCTATAGCCATATAAAGATGTTATGAAAATATACCGTAAATTTCGGGCAAAACGCGGATCCGGCCACGACGACGCTTCCCAGTGAACTTCAGCACCTAGACCCAAAGTTGTAACGAGTCACTGATTTTTGTGACTCGAGTCGAGTCGAGTCATTTTGAAGAAGTGACTCCAGTCGAGTCGAGTCATTTTAAAGAAGTGACTCGAGTCGAGCCGAGTCATAATAGGTCAAAAGGTCGAGTCGAGTCGAGTCAAATATTTAGCTCGAGTCAATTCGGGTCACGATTATTTGAACACTTTGTATACCAAAATTTATAAAAGGAGGCCATAACTTTAGCGAGCGTTCGAATCCAAGAGCTTTATAAGAAATCGCCCAAAACCAATGATGAATCAGCGAATTAGCAAAATGTGTTTAAAAATCTGGTTCCTGGATAGTATTTTGTGCGTTCTAGAACCATGAGGTGGGAGTATGTGACACTTGTATATTTGTACTTGTATATTTGTACATGACTGCTATTCGCGAAGTAAAGTGAGCATAAATTCTGCACCGTAAGTCACTGCAAATACTTTTCACAAAGTTGCGCTTTTTATTTTTGGGACTCGATCGAGTCTTATTAGCCTTCGCTCGAGTCGAGTCGAGTCTTCTGATGAAAGACACGAGTCGAGTCAAGTCATTTGCTCGCAGTGACTCGAGTCGAGTTGAGTCATTTACCCTTAGCGACTCGAGTCAAATCGAGTGACCAAAAATTGTGACATGAGTCTGACTCGAGTTGAGTCATTGACTCGAGTCATTACAACTTTACCTAGACCAACCAACCTGTCCCATTATGCCAGAGTTTGCACCATTTTTTGTTCAAATTGGCTGTTTTTCTCATCAATCAAATTCACGACCGTTTTTGCTGAATTCTGCCAGAAACCTGCCCAAAAAAAAATCCATTTTGTCAAATTTTCTGTCAAACTCTCGTTTTTTTTAACCAAAATTCGGTCAAAGTTAGCCGAAAATCGGCTAAAAAGGTCACCTTGCGTCCAATGTACATGTACTTCATGGCTCGCGCTACCCCTCACGACGAACGTTCAGCCAGAGATCGGTGTGTCTGGGTGCCAGACTGTGTGGGTAACGGACATCCCAAGTTGCTGTGAAAAAAAAATTACGAATGAGTGGGCTTTACAACTTGGGCCTGTTGTGAATATTGGCGTCAATATTAGCGTCAATATTTGCGACATAGAGACCATGTCGTGAAAATTGGCGTCAATATTGGCGTCAATATTTGCGACATGGAGACCATGTCGTGAATATTGACGTCAATATTGGCGTCAATATTTGCGACATGGAGACCATGTCGCGAATATTGGCGTCAATGTTGGCGTCAATATTTGCGACATGGAGGCCATGTCGTGAATATTGGCGTCAATATTGGCGTCAATATTTGCGACATTAAGACCATGTCGTGAATATTGGCGTCAATATTTGCGTCAATATTTGCGACTTAGGTCCATGTCGTGAATATTGGCGTCAATATTGGCGTCAATATTTGCGACTTGGGTCCATGTCGTGAATATTGGCGTCAATATTGCGTCAATATATATGTGTGATGTCCCTTTAAAGCCACCATACATACACAATACTCAGACAGTGTGTACAGATCAGTGGTTTAAAAGAACAGTATTATGACCAAATTCATTGTATCAGGGGGCATAAGCATTGTTGGCAAAAAGTGTAATGGAACACTCATTTACTTCGGTATTGGAAATATCAACAATATATCAAGCATAGCCATATAAAGAAAATGAACATCTTCAATATTACGGATAGGGCTATGGCCTAGCTCTATGCTTGGACTTACCAATTGGCGATGGCTATCACCCTGCATATCGTTATGAATACAAAGGTTAATTATCATTACCAAAAGAAAAAGAAAAAAATGCATATACAGAACCAAAAAAAATCCCATTTTTGGAATTAAATTGCTAAAAACTCTACAAGCTTTGTTTTGTTTTTGTTTTTGTTAAGTTAATAAACACTTGTTTATAGCCTTCTTGTAGACTGATTCCCCGTCCTTGTAATTATCAATAAGGGGTATTATTAATTGCCACAGGAAGTTTTATAGGCAGTTTTTGACGTCCCAATGTAAAGTATTCGGGTTAGACAAAATGGACAATACATATGGTTAGACAATACATATACACAGTTTTCAGAAAATCACAAACATTTTGTTATACATGTAACTATAATAAGGAGCATTTTGGAGGCTTTAAGAAAAGCCAACAGTTTGAACGTTTGTGATGTTTGTTATTGCGTTCACTGTGGCAATTTACAGCGCGTTAACTTTTTGGTGGCATTGTTATGCCCTTTTCTCATCTTTTTTGTATAGTTTTTTTTGTAGGGTTTTTTTTCTAGTGAGTCTGCATGTGTACCTTTTACAATTGTTTCGTTTAAATTGTATATGTATAGGTGATTCAACCAGCCTCAATCGCGAGTTGATGATTGCCCTTGAAACAGAAAAAGATAAAGTAAGTTACCAGTACAGCACATCAATAGAAATATAAGGTTGACTCCTGTCAGTACAACCTCAGCCGGAAATGTTTGTTATATAGTTTTACATAAAGTGGAGCACTGATCACATTTATTGTGCATATATGCTAAGTTGCCAACGAGAGTTTATGTTCACTATTACCGAAACATTTCGGTTGTTGTAAAACAGTTTGTTTTGTTGAACTGCAATTTGTGTTGATTCAGCTGGGTTTTTTTTCTCAAATCAGAAAAGCCCCCTTTTTAGTAAGAGTATAGACATGCAGAATATCAAATTAAAACTTAGTACATGTATGTGGGTTTGTCTTGGAGCCCCCTAGTAGCCTATTGGTTGTGGGCCCCATATGTCAAGGGTTAAGGTAATTATTGTTTAACCATGGGCTTAGCGGGGCATTGGAGTTTATCAACACATCATGGGCCACAAAGTAGCATTAAGGATAACAAAGACCCTTGTAGTTAATCCCTCTTTTCAACCACATATGTAGGGGATATTTTACAGTCACTTTCCTGCAGTATGGTGCATGTATTAGTATGTTTTAATACAATTTCAAATTCTGAAGAGTGCCAAAACTCTCATTGCAGGCTGTTACAACTGATAATGTAGTAACCAACGGATAACGTATCACCAACCGATAATGTATCAAAAATTGACCGATATCGTATCACTAACCGATAATGTACCAAAAATTGACTGATAGTGTAGTAAAATTTGTATCCGATAATGTATCACGTGTCGACGGAAAATGTAACTACAAAATAAGTGTATTCGATAATGTATCACCACGGAACGGATACTGTATCAACCGATAATGTATCAAAAATCAACCGATAATGTATATGGGGAAAAGGTGTACACAAATGTTTGTTTTATGTCCGATTATCCCGCCCCACGTTTTGACCTGGGAGGGGGGGGGGGTTGGGCTAGTTGATCACCCCCACCCCCCATTATTTTGTATTTAGTGAAAAAGGGCAGATTTTGAGGTATTTTTCAAACTTTCAAAAACAAAAAAAAATCAAAAACTTGGGGAAGGGGGTATCATATTTCAATAGGGGTCGACAAGGGACCCATGAAGCTTGATCGCATCTAGACTATCTTCGACGATTGCCGCCTAAATCCGGTAAACCTGTTTCATTGTATCTTTTGTGACAGCTCAAGTTACATGATAATTTTCAGATAGTAGTTTTGCTATACACATGCTTTGCCACTCGTATGTGTTCCCGGTTCATGCACAGCGCGTATTTTGAATGATGCACAATTATTGGCGAAGGGAATAGTCTGGAAGACCATCGCAAGTTAAATTGAACGTATGCGCGAGCCGACGTTGCCTGACGCTCATGCGAAGACGCTGCTGCTAATAACCACATTCTGGCACATTCTGGAAGTGGTGTGGAACTTTGCGCGCGAACCAGTACAGTACAGTACGCACATGCTGTGTCCCGTCCATTGATCTCCATACGGAGATCAATGGTCCCGTAGTGGTAAAACGCGCCCTCTTGTGTCGCAGCACGGAGCCCATATGGAGGCCAAGTGTCCGGAGAAAAGAACTTGTCCACATTTCGGCGCGAATGTGCGAGTGCGGTTACCCCCCCCCCCCTTGACATCAAAAGCTGTATACGCCACTAGCCTAGGCCCACTTGGAAGTAGAGCGTCTCCAATTAAAAAAAAAATTCGTAATGATAAACTTTCTCGAGTGGGGACTTATCATAGTAAAGGCACTTATTAGACTTTAATTAATTTGCAATATTTCCACCTTTTCCCAATACTGATACATTATCGGTTGATTTTTGATGCATTATCGGTTGATACAGTATCCGTTCCGTGGTGATACATTATTGGATACACTTATTTTGTAGTTACATTATCCGTCGACACGTGATACATTATCGGATACAAAATTTACTACACTATCAGTCAATTTTTGGTACATTATCGGTTAGTGATACAATATCGGTCATTTTGTGATACATTAACGGTTGGTGAGACGTTATTGGTTGGTTACTACATTATCAGTTGTAACACAGGCTTATGTACACGTGTATGTATTAATGTCGCCAAAGCTTTCACATTGCTCAATGAATGTGACACAGTAGTTTTGCTTCTTCTGTTTAGCACATTGACATGGAACCTTTACAGCCTAGCCCTACACACCAACTACAATCATCATCAGCAGGTTAGCAATATTATCATGTTAAGAATTGTTATGCTTTCACATTTCATTCAAATAAGAGAGTTCAGATGTTTTGTAAACATTGTTCATCAAATTAACACCAGGTGGGAAGCATATACCGGTATCAAGGTCATTCAAAATCATTGGAAAGGTAATGTCTGAGGGAGTACATACACAACAGAGTGCAGAACAGCCTACTCTCAACATCTGGGACTTTGCTGGCCAAGATTTGTACTACACAACGCACCAGGTATGCTCTATTTTTAGCTGCGGACAGCATCTCAACAAGTCGTCGTGTCTCTCCGTTAGTTGTTCGGTCGCTGGGTAGGTCGGTGGGTCGGTGGGTCAGTCGGTTGGTTAGTTGGTTAGTTAGTTAGTTAGTTGGTAACAAACATTCCAGTAACAGCCTTGCATGGGTATAAATCACCTCGTCCCCCGGGACCTGGCAATGGGTATATATCAAATCTTGCCCTGGCCCTCTGTTGTGCCACGTTAATAGATCCCAGTCTACCAATTTAATGCAGTCCTGGAAAATCGAGTCACTAAGGTAAAAAGCTGATTTTTGTACTGGAAACAATATTTTTTTTCCAGAAATTACATGGCACAATCATGCATGAACACAAACGCGTTGGCCCGCAGCTTCCGAGATCATTTCGAGCTTGTTTTGAATTAAACATTTACATGTAATTCTGTGCTGTATGGTGGGGCAGCTGCTATGCCACCTGCATGTTAGTATGCCTGAGGTGATATTCAGCCTTTTAAAAGCCAGAGTTCTTTCCATACCAGGATTTCCATACCGGCTTTAGACCGAATAAGGAGAGTCCCGCTCTTAATTCAAAACTTCAAATTAAATAATTTTTTTGTTTCCTTCGATGTCTCTTCATGATCATGACTATTGTAATGCCAGAAAATTATCAATTCAAATTTGAAAATCTGTTTTTCAGTGTGTTACAGCCAAAGATCACGTATATGCTAACTTTATTAATATCACCATGTTTGCCCATCTTACTGCTCGATTCCTGTTCATTCTCAACTCAAAAGACTCGAGAAAGCGCTTTGCATTGAACAGCCTTATCCTTTTATACCCTGAAACTCTTCGTTTCAATTTGAAAATAGGGGTGGCTGTCTAAACAATCTCATGTCTTTACAACAACAAAAATTGTTAGGAGTTTTTCTTTATTTCTCTTTTTTATGCCCCGCGGCGAAACCGAAGGGGCATACTGTTTCCGCCTTGTCCTTCCGTGTGTGTGGACGTGTGAGTTTGTGTTACATACCCTATGTGGACTTGTGAACAAAAGAGGTCCACATAATGCAGGTTGTGTTAACCTTATGTGGACTAAGCCGTGTCCACATAAGGTTTTGCCCTTTCTGGAAAACAGGTTTAGAGGCATTTTTGGGTTAGGTTTATCTGTAGCAGAATGAAGAGAAACACTATAGGGAATCATAAAAAAAAATAGGGTTAAAAGAGTTTTCACAGTTTAAGTAAAGTTATTTTTTGTACCGAGTTTTCTTAACTACACGAAAACAAAGCAATGTCCACACTAGGTATGTAATGTAAGTCTGGGTGTGTGGGTGTGTGTGTGTGTGTGGGTGTTTTGTATTGTATTACGCTCGAGGACAGACAACAAAAGGAGCACAAAGGGGCCTTTGACCCTCGGACGACGGTGCCTATTGTTAAAACCGGTCCTCAATCGTACGGTTATGTGCTTAGTCTATGGGAAAGTGTTATATTAGAGGGACAAAGGGAAACACAATAGGTTGTCCTCAGGCGTATAGTAAAAAAAGACTGTGTGAGCTTGTCTTACATACGCAGTGTGGACTTCCGAACAAAAGACGTCCACATAATGTAGGTAGCAGCGACGAAGTGTGGACTTGCCCACGTCCACACAGTGTTTCCCCATTTCTGGAAAACAGGTTTAGAGGCATTTTTGGGTTAGGTTTATCTGTAGCAGAATGAAGAGAAACACTAAAGGGAATCATTGAAAAAAAATTGGGTTGTAAGAGTTTTCACAGTTTGAGAAAAATGAGTTTTTCCACTGGTGTTCCTTAACTACACGAAAAGAAAGGAAAGTCCACACTAGGTATGTGAAACAAGTCGGGGTGTGTGTGCGTGGGTGTGTCCGGATAAATCTTGTCAGCGCGATAACTTGAGAAATACTTTACATATGAACTTCAAATTTGGTTTATAGATTGTCCTTGGCAATTCTAAGAAGCCTGTTGCATTTGGGGCCGAAGGGTCAAGGGTCAAAGTCAAAGTGGCTAAAACAAAAGAAATGTTGTCAGCATGATAACTTGAGATATACTTTACACATGAACTTCAAATTTGGTTTGTGGATTGTCCTTAGTAATAGTAAGAAACCTATTGCATTTGGGGCCGAAAGGTCAAGGGTCAAGGTCACAGTGGCTAAAACAATAGACATTTTGTCAGCTCGATAACTTGAGAAATACTCTACATATGAACTTTAAATTCGGTTTGTGGATTGTCCTTGGCAATTCTAAGAAGCCTTTTGCATTTGGGGCCGAAGGGTCAAGGGTCAAGGGTCAAGGTCACAGTGGCTAAAACAAAAGAAATGTTGTCAGCGTGATAACTTGAGATATACTTTACACATGAACTTCAAATTTGGTTTGTGGATTGTCCTTAGTAATCGTAAGAAACCTATAACATTTGGGGCCAAAAGGTCAAGGGCCAAGGTCACAGTGGCTAAAACAATAGAAATTTTGTCAGCGCGATAACTTGAGAAATACTTTACATATGAATTTCATATTTGGTTTGTGGATTGTCCTTGGCAATCCTAACAAGCCTATTGCATTTGGGGCTAAAAGGCCAAGGTCACAGTGGCTAAAACAAAAGAAATTTTGTCAGCGCGATAACTTGAGAAATATTTTACATATGAACTTCAAATTTGGTTTGTGTATTGTTCTTGGTAATCCTAAGAAGCCTATCGCATTTGGGGCCGAAAGGTCAAGGGTCAAGGTCGCAGTGGCTGAAACAATAGAAATTTTTGTAAGCGCGATAACTTGAGAAATTCTTTACATATGAACTTCAAATTTGGTTCGTGGATCGTTCTTGGCAATCCTAACAAGCATATCGCATTTGGGGCCACAAGGTCAAGGGTCAAAGTCACAGTGGCTAAAACAAAAGAAATATTGTCAGCGCGATAACTTGAGAAATACTTTACATGTGAACTTAAAATTTGGTTTGTGGATCGTTCTTGGTAATCCAAATAGGCCTATCGCATTGGGGGTCGAAAGGTCAAGGTCACAGTGGCTAAAACAATAGACATCTTGTATTTATTCTGAGATCATAGGGATTAGGGATTAATTCATATAGAACCTACTGAAGGCACTAATGCCGTCAATGAACTTTCCATGTGACCAAGGTACATAAGTTGATGTTAAAAGAGTGGTGTTATGTCATTGGAACAGCCACGGTTGCGGGACATTTGTGTTTGTAAACAAACCTCCCTTGTTTTTCATGGATGATAGGTAAATTCCGCGACTTTTAAACGGTAGGCCACATGATATAAACATGTAACTTTGACTAAAGATCAAACCAAATCCTGAGATGCGCATATGACTTGGACGTCGTGAAGAAGTCATCAGGTATCGAATTACAAGCGATTTTATCTGAAAAAGTGACACTTTTTGTTCGATTGTAACTAATTAACTAAATGAATATTCATATTCATACTTTTGACCTTACCTTCCTGAGTAACCGGAAGGTCAAAGTTAGGAGAGTTCAAAATATAGAAATGAGCCTCAAATTATAGCAAATCATGATTTTTTTCTCCAAACGGTTCACGTGGTGATAATGCTGTCAATTTTGTGACGTCATCAAATTACAAACCGTTTAAAAGAAAACATTGACAAAATAGTTTTAACTATCCCTTTTGGACTAAATAGAGTTTCGTGTTCATTTTTCTTGAGTTAGTAGATGGTGGTTTGGTAACACCACTGATTCCAAGGCACAAAACCACTTGACCTTCACTTTCGGTGTTGCCGAAAGTGCAATGAAAATGGAATATAACTTGAAGCATTTTGCTATAGACAAATGAGTTATGGAAATGTTTAGTTAGGATTGTCTAACACAAAAAAGTCATATGATGTCATCACCCGAAATGGCGCCATCTTACGTCACATCACATACAGTTGAACTTGCTTACATGTAAAAATTCATTCGTTATTTTGTTTAAACTGCTTTAAATATTCCTTTGACAACCGCAAGTGACCTTTAATTATTCTTCTTTACTCACCATTATTCACCATTTGACCCGTGCCTTTTTTAATGACTGTATTAATATCAAAAGAATAAGGATACCCACGTCATCAAACTGGACGTTATGTGTTGTTCATTCATTATGATATCTATATTTTCAGAGGTTTTTCACATCATGATGAACATTTATCCTCTCTGAACTAAATCACTACTTATTTTGCACATTTTAATTATTCAAACTGGCATTGTTGTAGTCGAGTTCTTCTTTCCGAGTACCGAGTACTGCCGAGTACTTAGGTTGCCGAGTACGAGTACAAGTACGAGTACTTGTACCTCCGAGTACAAGAACGGGTCTCTGAGTACGTGCACGTGTACTTCCAAGTACGAGTACGAGTACGAGTACTTGTACTGGTACTTCCGAGTACGAGTACGAGTACGAGTACTCGCATTTCCGAATACGGCCATACAGCAAATGGTTCATTGTGCGTAATTGGCCCAGGCCCAGTCAGAACGATATAGACCCCACTCACGGCTAGCTGTTAAATGTGTTTGTCCGGACTTGCACAGAGAAAAATTAGGAAGTCTCGATTTCTCCACAAGCCAATCAACCATTTCAAACTGAAAGTATCGATAAAATAAGGCCATGGTAAGTGAAGCTATAACATTAGTCCCCGGCCGAGTAGTGCTATTCAAGTACGAGTACTTTAATGATCGAGTACAATGTTGACATGTCGAGTACGAGTACTTTGCTGCCCGAGTACGAGTACCGTCATTTCGAGTATGAATACTTTGACATTCGAGTACGAGTACGAGTACGAATACTTCATAAAAAGTACTCGAGTAGTACTCGAGTACGAGTAACGAGTACGAGTACTACAACACTGCAAACTGGAAATAACGTATACGTGTACGGGGGGATAACCAGAACACTTTCCTTATTGATCTTTTTAAGGTACCCCTCTAAAACTATAAGTCATCAGTGTTTGTAAATGTGCATTTCTAAATGTTCTTTTCAACTTTCATTTTGTTTGTATATACATGCATTTAAGTACATTTAATGTTCTTGTAGACATTCCTGTCTTCTCGGGCGATCTACCTGGTTGTTTTCAACCTCTGTCACGATCTTGACGAACCAATGCCAGTCCAGGATCAGGTAAGATGTAAAGATGTAAGCACAAATTGTCTTGCTTGGAACGAGATACATATCGAAACTTAGTTTCAAAGCAATAATTTTATCTGTAGTGATCTAAATTAATTAAAAGGCAACAAACGAACACCTTTCGTAACGATATATATCCAGAACAAACCATGTGTGTCAGATTAATTATATGTGCTCATATTTCTCTGCCATCCACTATTTGGCCTACTGGTGCTTTGTTTTTTATACTAAAAGAAAACATACTTTTATATGGACTGATTGATTTCCTGCCAATTTGGTCATCATGTTGATTGCAGTTAAGAACAACTACATGTACATAGTTTCCACAAAATTTCACAATATTTTTAAACTTAATTGTAGAATTAATAGGTATAATTCTATTTAGGCTGTTTCACTTATCCTTAAAATACCTTGAAAATGATTGCCAGATATCACTATACATGTACAAGTTCATGCAGCATGAATGTTATTACATGTACATGTTGGTATATAATAATGTTTTGCACCTTATACCTAAGGTGTCAAAGCGCTACACGATAATTATCCTCCCTGTTCATCAGGAATGACATAATTTTTCTGCAGCAGCTGATACCCATGTATACACCTAGGTGGAGAAAGGCAGTCGTAGAAAACAAGCACCACGTTCCCCGTCAGGGTTCGAACCCATGTACCACGGCACATGATTTGAACACCGTAACCATATTACACCACAACACTCCACATTATCATTACATGTTGGTATGATAAAACAGACCAGCAGATTAAATGTACAGTGTCCTTAAAACAAATAGCAACCTGGGGAAATGTAGAATATAAATTCAATGCATGACTCAACAGTTACTATTCCTCCTTGCTCAAACCATATACTAGTCACACCCCATCCCAGATTCTTGATTCACACAGACGTGCAAGTTTTAGTATTGCTTATTCACCCATAATTCAAGCCAGCAAGTCATACATCGTTCCAGTTCATGCTTCCGAGGATGGGTACACTTGGTAGCTTGAGCTACACCGGTGTGGTCTCTAAATAAGTTCTAGCCAAGAGTATTAACTTTCCTGTCCGTAACTGTATCTAAGATAACACCTTTGTATGATATCACCAGGGGAGCGGCGGTTCCATCACATCATATAGGACAACCCCGATTCAGTATCTAGATTTCTGGATGCAGTCGATTTTCACCTACACCAAGGAAAACTCCTCACAAGACGTACAGAAATCCCCACCAATCTTCATAGTTGGTACAAACAGAAACAGTGTTGGCGGGGATGATTTGCCAGACAATGAACGTAAGGCCTTGGTGAGTCCCAACTTTCTGTTTATTTTATGGCATGAGAAGTTGAGTCTATACAAAAATCACAGAGTGTACTTCAGGGCCGCCTCAAGTGCGTACTTGAGGTACTGTGTTTTTTCCCTCTTTTTTTAAGGAGGAGATATATCAGTAGAAGAGATATACCAGTAAATATTTCCAGTTATTGTTCGCACTTTCTAAATCAAAAGACTTCTGCTTAACCAATGGGTCAATGAGGAACTGCTAAATATTTGAATGTGCAAAATTGTTCAGGAAGACCATCTCTTTTGACCTTTGCTCCCGTCTTTTTTCCGAGCGTAGATAGATGAGATATTTACACGGATACGACTTGAGATCCATGACAAGCCGTACAACAGATATGTGGTTTCTGAATTCTACGCAGTAGAGAACTCCCTGGAAGACAACGTGAAGGTACTTTTATGCCTTTTTTTAAACATGCTTAGCTGAAAAAATCGGGATACGTGTATAAGAAAATAATTTGTTTTAATGTGAATTATCAGATCTTTGACTAAGCCGGGACTAACACCTGAGCTCAAGCTTTTTTCCAACAACCCTTGCCTTAATGACTATAGATTAGCCAATGACTATAGATTAGCCCCCTCCCCCCCCCCCTAAAAAGAAGAGATTTAAGGGAATGTTTATTTCTGCATTGAGAACAGATTCTAAGATTATAGTGGCCAATTGAATATTCCTTTAAGTAAACACTTAATGGGTATATGTCACATGACACATCTTTTTATAGTGCAAAGCGCTTTGAGACTGGTATGAAGTGCTCAGATAATGAGCACCATATTATTGTACATGGTGTCCTGAAAATAATGGTGCATGTAAACCCCGCCATTCTTAACAAATTTTCAATCAGAATTTACTGCAAATATTTACATAACCTTCAAGGTTGCAGATTTAGCCTTAGAATACCGTTTGTTTAATTAAGACTGCTTTTGTAAATTCAGAGATATCTTTGAATAACCGTCAAGCCAAAACAAAAATCTATGCCACTTTTAGGAAGCGATTGCTTCAAAGATCAGACAATTAAATGTATATGGCTCTTTTGATAAGATTATCCCTATATTGGTTTAAGACAAACATTCCATTCACACAACAAGTATTTAGGGTTTTGTTCTTATGTTGAAACAATTTCATAGTAAAGACAGGTTCACTTCTTTAAAACTTCAATGAAAGAGTTCAATTAAATAGTATTCAAATATTGAGTGGCTCAGCGTGGAATGGGAGGAATATTATCGCAAGGTAAAATCTGGACTTTTCCATTTAACGAGGCGAAGCCGAGTGAACTGGAAAAGTCTAGATTTTACCGAGCCATAATATTCCTCCCATTTCACAATTTAAAGCCACTCAATATTTGTTTTGTATAACTGACATATATATCCTTGTCATTTGATATATCTGAACACAAGAAAACTGAGGGAAAATGTATTTCTCTCTTCCAAACCACCCCTTCAGCGCTGGCTCTTTAGAACAATACGCGCTACGCGCAACGCTGAACCCGCACACCAGCATGCATTAAACAAATATGACATGGCTTGAGGGTGGACAGTCGATATTCGCTCCCCGAGGTTTTGGAAGTTGACAAACTAGTTCCCGAGGCGAAGCTGAGGGAACTAGTTTGTCAACTTCCAATACCGAGGGGAGCTAATATCGGCTGTCCACCCGAAATGTTATATTTGTTTTACTATACCTCATACATATTCAGTATTCATTGTGTTGTATTTTTTTGAAAACTTGGCCAGTTCACCAAATGAATCGTATTGCTCAAATTCACTGGTTCAGTTCGTTTACAATACAGTGCACTATAAATACATGATGCATCTCTTTTGTCCATAAATATTCTCTAGTTCGGGAAAATAACGCGCCGTGCAAGCATCTCTTCGTACGTGTGTAGCTCGTTTGGGCAGTGTTCGCGCGTGCGTACTACACCCGTGCGACAGTTCCAAGATTAATTCGTAAAGCGCATGCGTAGTAGACAGTCGCATGGGTAACCCGTGCGACAGTCTACTACGCATGCGTATTTACCATGTGCGTGAATCCTCGCGCACGCGCTTGGTAAACAGCAAAAATAACATCTGGCACGTGATGGTGAATTGACCAGTGTGAGTTCGGCCCTCGATCATGAATATGTATCAGGTATAATGATTGCACACAAATACCGCGTCGTGATCCTAACTGTTAAATAGTATTTTCCATTCCCTATGGGCGGATAGTACTTTTTGAGCCGCGGCGTCAATGGGAGCAATAACGAATGTCACGTGATGTGAGTCCCACCAATCAAATGACTAGGATCTGTATGTTAGTTATATTAAATTATAATTATATAATTATATAATCGACATACAGATCCTTGTCATTTGATTGGTGGAACTCACGTCACGTGGCATTCGTCATTGCTTCCATTCATGCCGCGGCTCAAAAAGTACTATCCGCCCATGGGGAATGGGAAATACTATTCAACAGTTAGGATCATGACGCGGTATTTGTGTGCAAATGCATGCTGGTGTGCGCGTTCAGCGTTGCGCGTAGCGCGTATTGTTCCAAAGAGCCAGCGCTACAGCGTTGTGTTTAAACATTTTCGTGAAGGGGTGGTTTAAAAAAGGGAAATACATTTTTTTTCCAGTTTTGTATTGAAAAAAAAAAGTTGAAATAAATCAAATGACAAGGAACTATAAGTCAATTATATAAAACAAATATTGAGTGGCTTTAAATTGTGAAATGGGAGGAATATTATCGTTTGGTGAAATCTGGACTTTCCCAGTTCACTCAGCTTCGCCTAGGGAAATGGAAAAGTCCAGATTTTACCTTGCGTTAACATTCTTCCGATTTCACGCTGAGCCACTCAATATATGTATAATATTGCACACTCTGCTTAAAAATGTTAAAATCACGAACAGTTAAGTGATTTGGTTTTAGACTAGGCCTATACTTATTTTAACTGCTTTACAGAAAGTGGCACAAAATGGGCTTCTTGGCTTTGCCGTTATTCAAACATAACTTTGGATTTACACTAGCATTTTTAATGAAGAAACGGCATCCTCAGGCTAAATCTATTACCTTAGAGATGGCGTAAACATTTGTTTTATTTTGATATCTTGAACAGATTGAAAAACTACGCAACCACATAGAGAGCATAGCAATGAAAGAGCCTTACATGAAAGAGAGAATCCCTTTGAACTGGCTGACCTTTGACGATGAGAAGGCAAACATAAGTGGTGGAAAACCTGTTATGACACTGAAGCAGGTACCAACTTGTTATGTTGTGTAGCTTTAGCACATATATGTACTTCTTATGTGAACTGAACTCTTTCATTGGTCAATGAACAAAATTGAACATGTACATGCACCAATAGGATGTTAAACTGTGTTCCAATTTACTTGCCTCTGGCCAACAGTAACATTCATATCATGCTTGGGAACTGGATCCGTAGTTTCATGTATAATTGCACGCGGTACCCAAGTTAATCAGATGCAGTCTAGGAAGTGGCTGACTCAGGAGCCTGCCCTAATTTTTTAAAGCTGGTGGTTGGAGCTTAAAATATGCACTCAGACCCCAAGGTGCATATTAAGCGGGGAATGGTGCCTCCCCCACCCTACCCACTCCTTTTACGGCGGCCGAATGACCAGAAAATAATACTGGCCAACTTCCAGCACGGAGAGTGTTCGTGATCACCCCGTCAGCAAAATGTTCTATGCCACTGGTCCCCCAGTTCCCCAACAATAGAGGGAGCTCCAAGACTTCCAGTGAGGTCTGGCTTTACTGGTACTCAAGCCTTCATAGTACCCATTTAATGTGTGTTATACATGTAAATAAGTAAAGTGGGGGTGTGGTATGGATGTTGATCGGATTTTTATAGTTGACTGAAAATAAATTAAAACTTTTTTTTTATTTCTATTATATCTGCTTTATAGCACGTGTTGTAGCATATGCAACACGGTCATCACATAAGAAGTGCAAAATTATTTCCCTTGAATTTGGTAAATTTTGGCTATCTGGCTCATTCCACTCCGGAAGGTATAGATGAAAATCAGCCAACACCGTATATGAAAGGACAAACAAAATGAGGTTTAAAAAAAATAAGTTATTAGAAAAGCACATGTGAGCGGTAATGTTCAGTTTTTTTTCTGGAGACCCGAATGCATAGCATGAAAAAAGGAAACGCATGGCATCATGGCTTTTGGTATTTCTGCATCATGCTACTACGTGTGTATATATGATTCATTTGATTTTACAATTTGATCCTGCAGCTGGGGGTTGATGTGGGAACAATGGGATAGACAAAGAGTAATTCAGTCCCCAGTGCTTACTTTATTTCAAACCCTTCGTTTCCAATAGTAAGCCCTGGATAGGAAACTTCCTTCCTGTATCCTGATTGGATACCGCAATTTGCTAATAATGGATTTATATCGTGTAGCTGGTGTTTTTAATCGCCAAAGTGCATTACGTGTTTTCACGATCATTCGTCTGCGCCTTCTCAAAAATACTCATCTCCTTTCAAGTTTGCTCTTTTAAATATGAAATGTGATACTGCATAATGGTGGGCCAGATTGTAACATTAGTACATTAGTACTACAAAAATAGTGTTTCGGCGCGACGAATTGATTGGGGGTCAGGTTGGCGTAGCGTTACTTTCCTCGCCTTCCGGGTTCGAATCCAGCCTGGGTCAATATGTGGATTGGGTTTTCAGTCCCTGCCTGATTCCGTTGGTTTTCCCCATAATATCTTCTGGGCTTTTCTTCCCACCTCTAAAACTGTAATCTCTTCTCATTGTTTTCTCTCTCAGTTGGTGTGATGTTTCCCATGGGATGCTTTACCGACTATAATGATACAGATACAGATACAGATGCTGTTGTTACCCTAGACACCGCATACAAAGACAAACGCTAATGTAACGCACATGCAGGCACCAGACTATTCCTCATTTGCATATATTGTTAAAATATCTTGCACATGCAAATGATCCAATACCAGGGTGAGAGAGCAGGTAGTGGTGGGCGCGTACGGCTCGACATCCTGGGGACGACGTTGTAATTCAGTGTCTTCATTGTGATTCTAGGTAATGGATGGCTTTGAGATTGAAGATGAAACTGAACTGCTGACGATGCTGAAGTTCTATCACGATCTGGGCCACATAATATACTTTGGAGGGGATGGTGAAAGTCAGGCGCTGAAAGACGTGGTCATTCTCAAGCCACAATGGCTGATCGATGCCTTCAAGAAGATCCTCACTGTTAAACATCCAAGAAAACAGGTAAGCCTGTTAGGCATTAGAAGACCTTGGTATACAAGGTATACACCAAGAATAAGAAGGTTTGTCATTAAAATGTATAAGGTCAAGGTCACAGTGATGGGATAAAGAACAAAACAGTTTTGGGATGGAAAACTTGTACATAACAGTATAGGCAGATTTTATTCGTGATGGGAAATGCTTTTTACATTCGGAGTTCTAGTTTCTGCGGCGTCCAGTGTGGCTGTAGAGACTGATATGTTAGTGGCTTATTCGGTGTTACACGTAGCAGACGAAAGAAGATCTCTGCTTTCAGCAGGCCCTCTTCTCCGCTCTGCAGCAAGCTGGTTATTTCAATCATTCATTAATACGTCTATTTCAAAGTTGCTGAGAATTACAAACGTACAACGAGTCGATAAATAAAAACTTATAAAAATCAAAATGTGAAACTCTTTTTGTTTTAACTTTCCTCGTAAGAACAGGCCCTATTGTTTCCTCAAAACCCTAAATTACTGATTAGTTCATCATCTGAATAAATCGAAATCAATATTTTTTTCAATTGAGAGCAAAGAATATGCCAATTCTTGGGGTCGACTGAAAAACAATGGCATATTGGATGATTCGCTTATCGACCACATGTGGCAAGACATCTTTGAGCACAAAACTGCCCTTCTGGACCTGATGGACATGTTTGACCTACTCTGTGAGCGATTGGATAAGGTACGTCTTGTTTGCATTCACAGTTCAAATTTAGAATGCATCAGGTGTAAACAGAATCGATGACAGTGAATTCAGCGAAAAAAATACGGACTGGCAGTACATGTTTCGATACATGGGAGTTGCTTTAGCCATTGTCAGTCATATAGCGAAGTAATAACGCAGACGTAATTACGTTCTTATTACGAGAGCCAATTTTTCGAGAGATCATTACATGAGATACATCTGTAGTCCTTTGGACGTACCCTTACATTGAACATACACTAGTTGCAATGGTTGGACTGGTCCAATGGACCAGGACAACACCCAACCAATGTAAGTCACAAGTCTAGTTCTAAAAATAGCCCTGCTGTCACAGTTTAAAGTAGACTGTTTTCTCCACCCCCCCCCCCCAAACAATATGGGGACCGGTAGCTAGCTTCCATTTACAGCCATTGATTGGATCAGCTCTGTTTGCGCGTGCAGCATGATTGCGCAGCAATCAGTGTTCAACTTTGTGCATGGACATTAGTTGAACACACGGTCATAAAAACTGACTCTTGTCTTACGACACAAAGTACGCAAAACTGCCAGTGTCTCCATGAAAGCAATTTTCAAGCATTTGAACTGAATAGGTTTTAAATGCTGAACAGTTATGCCCGTCTCTAAATTGATAGTTGGCAGAGACACTTTCGAATTCAGCAAAAAGCGAAACTCATAGCCTCTTAAATTGTATATTCGTGGCCTGTTGCCATTTTGCACCAGGCTGGTCTGGTTGCGCGCAAACATTACCGTTGTGATTTTGAATACAGGAGGCAGGATTCAGACATATACACGCCATGCATATAATTTGCATACATTCGGCTGAAAGCCGCTAGTGTATTCTGGATTCACTACTAGCTACCTGTCCCCATATTTGAAGTCCAAAGGACAATGGGGTCAGGGAACCAGACTAAATGTAAAGCAGGGATACAGGACCAGCTTAGTTCGGTGATGAAACTTTGCTATAGTTCGACCAGAGAACTTAAAATATACGGTACATGTTGAACACATTGATGCAGGCACAAGGTAAATTAATCAAACGGTGACCTGAGGCAGTGGCCTGCCCGAAATTGAAAAACCAGTTATCTTGTTTTATAAATAGTGAAAACAAATTATTCACAATTTCGCTATATTTTGTGGCAGAAAGTGCGTAAAATCTGTGAGTACATAAAAATGTGTCCCAAACCATAGCCTGAAGCCACTCTTTGAAATTCACTGATATTCCTATAGGTTGACAAACTGTAGATGACGTCTTTAAGCATTTCAGAAGCCCAAAAAAGTATTTCAGGTAGCATTTTACTACTGTAATGTATAAATATTTCCACTGTAGCCGTCGGAGGAAGAGCACGGAAGCCCTGTTTCATCCACTGCCGCCGCACAACATGCCCAACCTTGTTCTGCAAATGCATCTTACTATGTGCCTTCAATGTTGCAGCGTCGGACAAGCTCACTTCAACATGAAACCGTTGAGAATAAGAACACAAGTGTGTTCTTTGTGGACTTCAAAGGATTCCTGCCTGGTAAGTAACGGCTGGCATGCCTTTAAACAGTAGATATTAATTGTAATTTGTGTACATCAGACCAGTGTCACTTATTTTGACGGCACAAAACGGTAGTATACACACAATTAAGAAACACCCTTTCCGGGCGTGACTGTTTGTTAACTAGAACGCGTTTTTTTCGTCATTCACACTGGTATGCCTAACACAAACTATGGGTTTTTTTTTTTAGGTCCTTCCATCTTTGATGAGCCAGTCCTTTTTCTTGGTTCTTTTTGTGTGTTTTTATTTAACGTTGAACGAAGAAACTGACGCGCTGGGTTTGAACCTGTACAAACTCCAGTTTGCCGTTCCGGCTCTCTACCAACAGAACTATCAAATTTTGTATTAATTGGAAAATCATGCAAAATTGTTACCCCACGCAAGTCTGGCTTTACAAAGAAAGAAACGCGATTCAGATATTTGTACATTTTGCCATGATACAATAGATTACATTTAACACTTTTTCTGGTCATGTAAAACGGTTAAGCCCCTTTGGAACGAAATTGCAAAGATAGCTGCGCCGGAATATGGTAGATCGAACACTCTGTCCGTGGAGAATATTCCTTTCGGGCTGGGTGAAACCCATAATAGCTACCGGTCTTTAAAAACTCTGAACAACATAGGTAAACGGACAGTGAGCCGTTTTAAATATGGCCAGTGCTCCAACCTTATCATTTTTTTGAGCAGAAACTCCAGCTTCGTCATATGAATGTAACGGATTTATCATTTTTGTTGTGTAACAGCAAGTATTACCAAAGTGAACCAATGTGAACTCTGTTTTTTGCATTTAATCGTGTAATTTGTTCTTAGATAATTTTTCCGTGCTTTTTCAAAATAGTGACAGTCATTTTTACTTCTCTGACATTGAAACGGATATGAAACTTTGTGTTAAAAATGGCACTGTCCTCATATGTCATCAATTGCCGAGAAATGTCCTCTCCTCACCTTATGTCATCAAATGTCGAGAAATGTCCTCTCCATTTAAGGAACAATTCAGAAACGGAGTTCTGGTGGGGGGAAGAAACCTGAAGTAGCAGTAGACGATCCGACATGAGATGGGTATTACCTGTCCATTCATTGTTATCAATGGAGTGAGTATTACGCATCAACTGGTAGTGCTTCAAGTCAGTACGACTTGGGATAATAATATATATCTGTGAAGTAGTGTCTCTCTGGGATAATATTATCCGCACAGTGAAGTCGGTAGGGCTTAGGACTTAGGATAATTTTCTCTCTTGCTGAAGTGGGGTCTCTCTGAGATAATATTATCCCAGCAATGGAGTCAGTAGGGCTTGGGATAATATTATCTTTTCATGCAGTGGGGTCTCTCTGGGATAATATTATCCCAGCAGTGAAGTCAGTAGTGATTGGGATAATATTATCTCTTTATGAAGCGGGGTCTCTCTGGGATAATATTATCCCAGCAATGAGGTGAGCAGGGCTTGGGATAATATTATCTCTTGATACAGTGGGGTCTCTCTGGGATAATATTATCCGCGTAGTGAAGTCAGTAGGGCTTGGGATAATATTATCTCTTGAGGAAGTGGGGTTTCTCTTGGATAATATTATCCCAGCAATGAACTCATGAGCAGGGCTTGGGGTAATATTATCTCGTGATGCAGTGGTATTCCTCTTGGATAATATCCCAGCAATAAAGTCAGCAGGGCTTGGGATAATATTATCTCGTGATGCAGTGTTGTTCCTCTGGGATAATATTATCCCAGCATGGAAGTCCGTAGGGCTTGGGATAATATTATCTCTTGATGCAGTGGGGTCTCTCTGGGATAACATTATCCCAGCAGTGAAGTCAGTAGGGCTTGGGATAATATTATCTCGTGATGCAGTGGGGTTTCTCTGGGATAATATTATCCCACCAATGAAGTGAGCAGGGCTTGGGATAATATTATCTCTTGATGCAGTGGGGTCTCTCTTGGATAATATTATCCCAGCAGTGAAGTCAGTAGGGCTTGGGATAATATTATCACAGCAATGAAGTCAGCAGGGCTTGGGATAATATTATCTCGTGATGCAGTGGGGTTTCTCTGGGATAATATTATCCCAGCAATGAAGTCCGTAGGGCTTAGGATAATATTATCTCTCGATGCAGTGGTTTTTTTTTCAGTACAGTTAGTACTGCTTGGGATGTTATCTCTCCAGGAAGTAGGGTCTGTCGGTCCATAGTTATATCATCAAGTTGACACTTACAGTAAACCACTACACCTTGTGAGTTCTTTCACAGATAAGCCTCATGATTCAATTCGAGATTAAACTTCATACAATTCAATTATTCAAATAAAGAAGGGATCATGACACAAATTGGCATTTGTATCAGTCTAATGGCATCATTTTTTTGTAAATGCAGTATTTAGCAGTTATTCATATCTGACCTCCTATTATCAAAAAAACGTTGGGATTATCCTCACCAAATTTCACTGGTTTCCATTTCAGTCAAGTGCATATGTACATGCCTACATGTACACATTTAAGCGCATGGTCGGTCAGACACACATTACTACGGCTGCATGGCATCAGCTTTTAACGTGTTTGGCGCATCTAGGTATTTAGAAAAGCTGTAAAATCCTACATGTTAACAAGAATATAATTATCATTGGGTTAAAGATGTTTAAGTATATGTAGCAGTGCACAGATGGATACAAAACAATTCAGATGTCACTGTATAAGAACAGCTCAGCATTTTATTTCCCTATAAAAATATCAAAATTATACAATAGCATAAAAAAATCTGACAAAGGTTGAATATTGACATTTGTGTTACGGTCTCTCATTTTGTACATGACATTTAAAAATATATGTAAAAAGGGCATTTTTTGTTTGAGAAAACCTGGTAAATTTCAAGTTTTTTTTTTATCTTAACAAGTTTGCCTGAAGACCAAGTAGTTTATTTCTGTCTTGGTCATAAAATTAATATTGCGACAAAAAGATGTAAAGGTTTTTGCATTATGAAATTTCACAAGTCATTCTCATGTTCAATTTCATGTACATGTACTTTCCATTGCAAAAGTGGTTGTTCTCTAGATTATATACTGGTTGATGTAGGACTTAAACAATGGCCATTTAATACCAAATATTTTAAGTTGCAATTTCTAAACAAAATTCATGACAACATTACTACATCACTTCAGACTTGCATGCACGTAACATAATCCAACTACCGGACCGAGCACGTTAGACGTATCAACGTTTTGTGACATCATTATGACGGTACAAACTTATGCCCTAATAATACTACCACAGAAATAACATTTGTCATGCTTTGCTTACTAAATATGGCTTAAATATTCAAAAACTTCAAATACTGTCACAAATGTCAAGACGCCATTATGAATTCACCATATATGTTACCTATAACATTCGTGTAATACACATGTACCTGCTTAGCAAGCAAGTTTCAACCCTACAGACCAAACACCTCATGACATCATGCTTTGTTTACACGTGTGATTTCCTACGAGAGGTAGGTGGGGACACGAGCTAGTCACCAAGCTTCCATAGGAAAGGGCACATGTTAACAAAATGCGACGTCGATTATGCTTAACCTACATGTAACTCCCTAGGGGGTGTGCCATTTCATATTGAAATTGGAGGATTCAGAAACTGTTAAGGCTATAGTCTATTCTCCAGATAAAAACGATGCACTTGTCATCATGCAACTTGTCATCCACCAACTTTGTCAGTGGGCAGCAAGGAATTGTATTTTGTTGGCACAATTGATCAGTATAGCGTCACAGCGTAAAAAAGGTAATGTGACTTTACTTTATGCCAAAACTGCTGGGCTGAATAAATTTTACTTATTTACAAACATAGATTTCAAATCCGGTGTTAAACAGAGTGTTTAAACCTCACATTTATTCCCTTTATTCCCTTATAGATATCAATGACATTTGAAAAGACAAAATATGTCATCATGGTGTAATTTGATGTAAAGACTAACGTATGAAAATTGTTGGGACATTTTACAGCTTTTCCTTTGAGAGCAACAGTTTAGTGAACAATAATCATTAGTATTACATCGCACAAAACAATCTCCATAAAAACTGATTGAGGTTCAATTTTTGAAGATAATTCATAACAAAGTTTTAGTAATAAGTAATGTATCAATCATACATGTATTTGGCTATTTACTTAGGGTAAATAAAATAACGGGATTTTATATCATTTGAAGTACCTCAGTATTAAGTGTTCAATTTTTGCAGTGAGCTTGCATTTCACTGATAGTTCGAATCTAACTGTTATGGAAGGACACAAACAATTCTGGATAATATCCAAAGTTCTATCCAAATATCTCTAGTTGAGCTGCGCTACTTAGATGTAAATGTTAAGTTCAGAGAAAAATAGCTCAGAGAAAGCCCACTTAACAGTGTAGACTACAATGCTGGGATAATATTATCCCAAAAGACCCAGCTATTAACACCACAAAATTCACCGCTGGATAACATTATCCAGAGACCCTACTGACTTCATTGCTGGGATAATATTATCCTAAAGAAACCCCTCTACATCAGGAGATAATATTATCCCAAGCCCTGCTCACTTCATTGCTGGGATAATATTATCCCAGAGTGACCACACTGCATCAGGAGATAATATTATCCCAAGCCCTGCTCACTTCATTCCTGGGATAATATTATCCCAGAGAGACCCCACTGCATCAGGAGATAATATTATCCCAAGCCCTACTGACTACACTGCTGGGATAATATTATCCCAGAGAGACCCCACTGCATCAGGAGATAATAGTATCCCAAGCCCTACGGACTGCACTGCTGGGATAATATTATCCCAGAGAAACCCCACTGCATCAGGAGATTATCCCAAGGCCTGCTCATTGCTTTGCTTGGATACTACTATCCCAGAGAGACCCCCACTAGATCAGGAGATAATATTATCCCAAGCCCTGCTGTTCTTTTCAGAACCACACATACTCAGAAAAGAGATTTATTCACATGGTGCTACCACAAACGTATTTGTCTTGGAATAATATTATCCCAGAGAGACCGCACTTCATCAAGAGATAATATTATCCCAAGCCCTACTGACTTCACTGTGCGGATATTATCACAGAGAGACCCCCAATGCATCAAGAGATAATATTATCTCAAGCCCTTCTGACTGACGAGATAATACTACATGTACATGTACATGTACATTGAAACTCATCCACGCAAATGGTATGGACTTCGATTCTGGGTTAATAATCATCACAGAAAGATCCCCCTTCACGCTGCAGATTTCAATGTTGGGGTAATATCCTAGAGAAACACCATTTTGTGGACAAATTATCATTGTCCTTAAGCCGTCCCACCTTTATTGATGCACTATCAGTTGATGCGTAATACTCACTCCGTTGATAACAATGAATGAACAGGCAATACCCACCTCATGTCGAATCGTATACTGCTACTTCAGGTTCTTTCCCCCACCAGAACCCAATTTCTGAATTGTTCCTTAAATGGAGAGGACATTTCTCGACATTTGATGGCATGAGAGGACAGTGCCATTTTTAACACACAATTTTATCTTTGTTTCAATTTCAGAAAAGGAAAATGCCTTTTACTCTTTGAAAAATGCGTGAAAATATATCTTAGCACAAATTCCACGAAAAATTGCAAAAAATTTAGTTCACATTGGTTCACTTTGGTAATACCGGCTGTTGTGTGTAAAATTAGTAGTGCGTATCATAGAGCAGATGATTAACTGTACATCATTTTGTTATTCATTTGTTGATTAAAATGTTTGAATAAAATAGAAAAACAAATAACTATCCAGCCCTCATCTAGTCAGTTTACCTTTGTGGTTTATTTGAACATATTTTATTTTCCAGATGGTTTGTACCATCGGTTAGTTGTGCGAGCTTTGCGATGGTCTCAAACATTTGGTGGAAAAGATCTAGATCCTGGTCTGCTCTATGATCGAGCAAATGTCTTTGTACACCACGATCATGAGTTTGTTCTGCAGATGGTGCACCGAAAAGATCTTGCATACATCAAAGTAAGTACATTGTCTAATATAAATAGTAAATGTTTAATATGTGGATATAAATAGTGTTAATGCAGCACAATAACCTCCTCAACTGTTACTATAGGAGAGTTGGGGAATCACAGGGAGGGATACTTCACACCATATGGCAATGAACCAGTAAACACATGATGTATTTCTCCCACTGGGGCTATCAAAAGCGCAGTACTATTCGTTCACAGACTCTATAGGCCATTGTTATCATCCCCCCTGGTATATAAAAAAAAACACCTTCACAAACCACAAATTAAAAATAAACGTATTTATTTATTTTTGAGCAAAGTGTGTGCCCTTCCTAACATTATGTAAAACTCCAATGCTTTATCCTCAAGAGTATTTACTTTAGTTGCTGTATTTAATGACGATGACCTTCCCTGTGTTTATAGGTGAGTGTCGCGAGGCTGATAGTCATTCCAGCCCCACAAAATGTCAAACCACCTTCAACTGATGTCACGTGTGAGGTATGCTAAATATATATATAATAACCATCATAGTATGCCGACAAATGTGTGCGACAGTCTTAAATTAAAAAAAAAATATCTCACGTTCCATCGATGTTTTCCTTGCTTTTCTCTGGGAAGGGGGACTATGAATAAAGCATGCTGAAAACCGTGCATAAGAAATGTCATTTTCCCTTTGTAAATGGAAGGTGTTTGCTTGATGAGGTTTGTCTTTTGTACAGATAGAGTGCATATAGGTTTAAGTTTGTCAAAAATAGTATGGAAGACATAAGTTAAAGTCACCACTTCGTGTATAAGCATGGTAAGTATTGTATACTACAATGCACTCTCTCTCTCTCTCTCTCTTTCTCCCCCCCCCCCCCCGTCTCACTCCCTCTCTCTCCCCCTCTCTCTCCCCCTCTCTCTGTGTATGGAATTTCAATTATCACATGAGCATAAATATAATTATTTCACAACAGGTTAAGGACTTTGTGGAAGAGCATCTGCAGAGTTTGAAAACCACGTGGATCAAGCGAATTAAGTACTGCATCAGTGTCCAGTGTCCCAACAAGCTTGAAGAACCCCACTTTCTTCCACTGGATGATTGCTTGAAAAAGCCAGAATTTCTCTGTCGGTTTAAACATTGTCGAGCCCTTATCAAAACGGAAGAAATCCAAGCCATGTTCAAGCAGGAAAGCTCCGAGGAAGAAGCTTCCGCTCGTGGTAAGTGAAGGCAGTGGCGTAAAACCCTGTCGGCAAGGGTGTCGATGAGGGATGACCAAAAATCATAAAATTGTCTGGCCATGGAAATTCGAAAGGGGAAAAGGGCGCTGTTTATAATATATATTTCTTGTTCAAACTTGTAAACGTATACGTCCCTTAACCTTATATCAAAACGGTGAATTTAAAGTGTTTTTTAGAACTGCAAGTAAGTTAATACATTTGGACTTTTGGAAAGTTTGAAGATAACTCAAAATCAGATCTCACCACCAAACAAAAAGTGGGGGAGGGGTGGCCGGGGGTGATCCAATGGCCCACCCCCACACCTCCTCCCCCTCCCCGGTCCAAAAGTTGAGGGATTAACACCCATGAGTGAAGGCAAGTGATGATTATGTTGAATTCTGACCATCATGTCGTTGCTTTTAATGTTATTATATAGAAATGACATGAGTACAGGACATGCAACTTGCTCCGAAAAAGTTCATTACAATACTTTTTTGTGTGATTTTTTTAGGGCACATGATTGGCAATGTACACACACACAAACAAGTGGTGCTGGCGTCTTATTTTAAACCACATTATTTTGTCTCTTGTACTGATCCAATCATTCATGTGATTATGCTGGTGTTGCCGCTTTAGTAAATTTGCTGATCATGTGAAACAGACATGAAACTTGTCAGAAACAGAATCTCTTTCAAAAGGGGACAACTTTGTTAATTATAATTAACCTGTATTCAGTTTTTGTTCTTTTATTGATGCGTGTTTGCTTCCCTCGGTGCATTATACTGCGTTGAGACATGCTTAATCATCATCTGTCAATTTAACTGAGATAGCTATTTGATTGAATATATTCTTGCAATGTGCAACTTTTTTTTCCTTCTATTTTTGCCTGCACAGCCGATAGACAGCCGATGAGTGATATCCTTTTCAAAGAGATAGCAAAAGACTTTGGCAAAGAGAGGGGGGAGGATTTGGCCAAAGAGCTGGGAGTCGAATCAGAAGAAGTTGACACGAATAAAAAAGACTATAACACTAGCGGGGTCAATGAGCAAATATTCCAAATCCTGTCACAGTGGAGGGAAACGCGTGGAAATGAAGTGGACAAGATGCGAAAAGAGCTCATCGATGCACTGATGACGGTGGGAAAATTTGGGCTTGCACATAAAGTGCAGACTGAGTACTAAACTCAAATGTAAATGGTTTTGGCCAGATCATCAAACAGAAGAGCAGATCCTTTTTTTCGTGAGAGGTAAATCGCAGACTTGAAAAGGGATTAGTTAATAACAGTAACTTGTAAAAGGCATTTGCATGAGAGCGACATTTAATCTTCAAAGAACAGTTATTACAACCTATATGACACATAAGAAAGTGTTGAAAACCCGTCCGCTTGTCACGGTTGTTTAACTACAATCATTGTGGTTAAAGACAGGTCAAAAAGTTGTTATTCTTTCACACAACTCCTAAATAATTTAAAATCATGACTAGATAGAACGTGTAGATGCATCATTGGAAACCTGGTACATGCCAAAGATTTCTTTGATTATCAATTTAAACCTCTTCCTTCATCTGCGTTTGTTTGAAAACAAAAATAGATGAATGTGTGCCACATAAACTGAAATACTTGGGAATGATTTTTTGAGTCAAAATTCAAACAACGCACATAAATAGGTTCCAAATGTTAATTTTTTGCCATTATATATATACGGTTAATTTATTTCGTGTTAAATCTGTATAATAAACACGTGAAATAAGTTCAACTCACTCAACTGCTAAAAGAAGGGTTCTTCATCAATTTGTAGGTCAGCAGTCTAACCACACAAATGAATATTAGGCAAAAGGTTCCTTTTTTTACCATCCTAACATGTAAAATGTGTAAGTGGTATATTGTGAAGTAAGTTCTACTTCTATCTATATAGTCTATTTCACTCATTCGCAGAAGGAAGACTTATTCACCAATGTTATTACATTAGTTCCTTGTGCTGCTCTTTCAAATACTACTTACATGTTATCTGATGTTGTCAATTCATCTTCTACTTTGTCTGACTCTCCCTCTGATGTTGTAATAGTCCATTATGTTACTTGTTTGATTTCTTTGTTTTTATTTCCTGCATTATTTCTTGACTTCTGTTCTCTTCAGCTCATATTTTATTACTCTGTTTTATCCCTTTGTAACACAATTTAAAATCGTTTCCATTGAAAAAAAATGTTTCACTTCTTGATGCAACTTAGTGTATATAATTGTATCTGCCCCAGTACTTTAAGCACAACAGTTTTGTAACTCCTCTCATTTGTGATTTGCTTCTATATATCATGACGACAGAAATTAATATCTAGGCCTAATGTTGTTTAAATGTGAATTGGATGTGGTTTTTGAAGCTGTTTTAGAAAGGTCAATGACCAGCTGTAGTATGCTGTAAGGATTGTTTGCCTGTACGTGCAGAAATATATTATACTATATATATCCATTGAGTTATTGTTTTGAAATCAAATATTTAGAAGCCAAGCTTAACCTCGAAATGATGTTATTATCATTCTTATCTTGGAATATTCATATTATCCTTTCTACTAACTCAAGCAAGACGAAAATCATCACTGAATAACAACATTGTTGTAGAAGTACCTTAGGATTTAGGAGTTCAACAAATCCACATACCGGATGTCTCTATAATATTAAAGTTTAATGAAATAAATATTTCCATGCTGTCAAAGTTAGATATTGCTTTTGGAGCTATTTTTGAAAGGTCTATGGCCAGCTGTAGTATGATGTAAGGATGATGTGACTTTGTTTTGCAGAAATATGTTTTACTATATATCTGGTGCATTATTGGTTTGATGTGTGCGCATAAAAAAGAATATTGAGAAGACACTCTTCAAAATGATGTTAATGTAATTCGTATCTTGGAAGATAACTATTATCCTAGTTAATTACTCAATCAAACTGAAGATTTTCACTCATCATTACAACGTTGTTGTAAAAATGCCTTGGGAGTAATTTAAAACTCATTTTGAATGTAATTACACAGTATGCAATTAATATGTCATGCTGTCAAACGTAATTAGATATTGCTTTTGAAGCCGTTGTACAAAGGGCTATGTATGACCAGCTGTAAATTGCTTTTAAAGCAGCCTGCTGTTTGTATAAAGGTACATGACCAGCTATGCTGTCAGGATGATGTGCCTTTACTGCACATATTTTACAATATATCTGGGGAATTATTGTTTTGATGTACAACACAAATGAATCCACATAAAGCAACTTTTGGAATGTGTATAATATTACACAGTCTTCAGAAATTAATACGTCGTGTTGTCAAATGTTAATTAGATATTGCTTTGAAGCAATTTTAGAAATGTATATGACCAGCGCTAGTAATTGTGTTGTATGATGTGCCTTTACTTTGCAGAAACACTTTACTATATATCTGATGAATTATTGTTCTGATGTGTCTACATGAAATCAAAGATTGAGAAGACAAACTTAACTTCAAAATAATGTTAATTCATTTATTATTTTGGAAAATTCATATCATACTATGTAACTATCTTAATCAAACTGAGGATTTCCACTTAAATACAACATTGTTGTAGAAGAGTACATAAAAAGAGTACAATAAAAATGATTTCACAAATAAAAGAAACCTTGTTTGAATAACTGCACAATTTTACAAATTCTAATGAAATTAATAGATCATGCTGTCAAAAAACTAGATATTGCTTTAAAGCTGTTTTAGAAAGGTGTATGGCCAGCTGTAGTACTTTAAGGATAGGCCTATAATGCCTTTACTATGAAAAAAACATCTTTACTGTAAATCTGGTTTATTACTTGTTTGATGTGTGTGCACTGTGCACGAAAACAAATATTGAGAAGACAAGCTTAAATAAATGATATTGATATAGTTCTTGTTTTGGAATATGCCTATTATCCTTGAAACTAACTTAATCACAATGAAAATGGTCACTGTACATGAAATTTGTAGAAGTGCCGTAGGAGTTAGAAGTACCCGCAAAGGATGAATCCACATATTTTAAAAATAATTGTGGATGTTTGTATAACATCATACAGGCTAATGAAATATATCAACTGTTAATTAAATATTGCTTTAGATCTGTTTTAGGAAGGTCTATGACAAGCTGTAGTATGCTTTAAGGATGTTGTGCCTTTACTATACGCAGAACATATTTTACGATATATTTTGTGAATTATTGTTTTGATGTTTGTGCATAAAATCAAATATTCGGTTAATCAGGAGACAAACTTATCCTCAAATTGATCTCAATATGATTCCTATTGTGGAACATTTCCTTTATCTTTGTGACTAACTTCTCAAACTTTATAGATTTCCACTGTAATACAACGTTGTTACAGAAGTGCCTTCTAAGAGTATGGAGTACAAACAAATAAATTCACATATTTGAAAAATAATAATAATTTGTGTATAATATTACAGTCTGAAATGTATGACTGAAACAATGCTCTGAATGTAACTGGGCTCATCAAAGTATATTTTTTTCATCAAAAATCCCGTGGTGTTCGTTTTAATGTCATCGTTAATAAAAAATGAAAAGAATCCTTTAGAAACCAATAAAAGTAAGCGCAGTATCCGTTTACAAACCAAATTTGAACTGGAAACCTGCCCGAATAATCAGAAACAATGAGCTGTTAAAACTTTTGGAATTGTGTATAATACTACACAGTCTTCAGAAATTGATATGTCGTGTTGTCAAATGTTAATTAGATATTGCTTTTGAAGCTATTTTAGAAAGGTCTATGACCAGCGGTAGTAATAGTAGTAGTACGCTATAAGGATGATGTGCCTTTACTTTGCAGAAACACGTTACTATATATCTGATGAATTATTGTTCTGATATGTTTACATGAAATCAAAGATTGAGAAGACAAACTTAACCTCTAAATGATGTTCATTCAATTATTATTTTGGAATACTTGTATTATCCTATATAACTATCTTAATCAAACTAAAGATTTCTTAAATACAACATTGTTGTAGAAGTGCCTCAATGAGATCGGAGTAAAATACAAATGAGTTCACAAATTAAAAAAACAAACATAATATTACACAGTCTAATGAAATTAAAAGGTCATGCTGTCAAGTAAAAACCAGTTATTGCTTTAAAACTGTTTAAGAAAGGTCTATGGGCCAGCTGTAGTATGCTTTAAGGATATATGCCTTTACTATGAAAAGAAATATGACTATCAATCTGGTATATTATTATTTTGATGTGTGTGCACTGTGCACGAAAACAAATATTGAGAAGACAAGCTTAAATAAATGATGTTAATATAATTCTTGTCTTGGAAGTTTCCTATCATCCTTGTAATTAACTTAATCGCAATGAAAATTGTCACTGTAGGCCTATAGACATACAACATTATTGTAGAAGTGCCGTAGGAGTTAGAAGTATCCGCAAAAAAAATAATCTACATAATTATTTTAAGCTACTTTTGGATGTCTGTATAACATCATACAGGCTAATGAAAATAATATGTCCACTGTTAATTAAATATTGCTTTAGATCTGTTTTAGGAAGGTCTATGACAAGATGTAGTATGCTTTAAGGATGATGTGCCTTTACTATATGCTGAACATATTTTTACGATATATGTCGTGAATTATTGTTTTGATGTTTGTGCACGAAATCAAATATGCATTGGAAGTAAATTGCTTTTAACTAGAGTACCGTTTAACATTAAAATCGTTTACTTGGCGAAAGCAAATGCAACTTATTATTTTTCATCTCAACGAAAACGATTATCTGTATGGGTCCTATAGATTTGCCAACCTTTTCTAAAAACTGGTAACCGGCACCTTGTGAGAATAAATAATGTTTTGATGGCAGACCGAAGTGTTCATTGTGTTTTTGATTGCGGTTATAGAGTAGAATTATGATGTCATACCGTACTTCACAAGTTGGAGACAGAGTAGACCTAGCCTTTCGCCAAGGCCATCATTGGCGAAGCCCGCCACTCGCGCATGTGGTTTCCGCTCCAGTTGCTTGACATTCGCCGCTCTGTATAATGACGGTTAAGCCACGATGGCCTTGGCGAAAGGCTAGAGTAGACCTATACGTATAGGATCGACCAGCTTGACGGCCGATGCGGGGCCTGTCTTCCTTGGACAACTGTCTACGGGGTTGCAGACCAATAAGTCGGCCCAAAATTGCC